CCCTTTGGTCACAAACTCATAATATTTGAATGTGAGCAGAGCCTTGTTCAAATATTATGAGCCCTGCCATTATGGCCACAACAACGACAGCACCACAAATGACCAGTATGTTTTCGAATCAATCGCAAAGAAGTATCATTCATTGTCTTTTCTATCTATCCGTATTAAACAGCCCAACTATCAGCTACCAGTCCATTCGACTTCAATTCACCAGCCATCATACTGACTTTTATTCTCATTATAACTCTACTCGTTACACTGATTGTATTCTCGATAACAGTTATTGTCATTTATTTTCTCGGCCATTACCGAAACACCGATCGATCAGCACATTACACGTCAAAGTGAACTCAAACCAGACGTGAGTACTTGCACCCAGCTTGATCACTCATTTCCTTTTGTAATCACAATCAATCACGCCCTTAGGGTTGCCGCAACAAGAAGAACAAGACACAATTTATCTGTCGCCCGTAATCCACCAGGCACCAGACCGAGTGCCCGGATTCGATCGTCCAGCATTCGACAAAAATCGAAATCTTCCCAACCAGCAGATACTTGACAACCCACATATCCCACTTGTGAGTAGCACGACACCACAATGGATGGAAATCTTCACCGAATCATCCCTCCAATAATTTCTTCTGCTATTTTAGCCGCCATACTATTACGAATGCGTATGAAACCTGCCACAATGACTTTCATGTTGGATAATTATGTGAACTGGTCAGCAGTCAGCAAACATCTACTTCAACCCTCGCTGGAACCACTTCCTAAAACTTCACGATCCACCTGTACATTTCTCATCTTGTAGTCTCCTATACTATTCAAACAAATCCTCCGATTACCAAAATAAAATTCATTCTCCTTCACTCTCCCAGTGCAAACATACCAAACCGGAAATTGCCCTCAATAACTGAGTACCGCTACTAAAAACATTCCTCAAGAATTATAACACTTCATATAATAAAGACATAATCACCACATACTCCATCAACAAAAACTTTAAAACCAGATCATTCCAGGTACACAAGCCAGCTCATGCACCGACTTTGTACTATACGCTCGAATTACTGAGCCACCTGATGAACGTCCCTTGAGAAAGGACGAAACTATAGTCGTAGCATTCTCTATCTTTATCACACCCCTTTCGAAACGTAGATAACTTTGCTTTATTTTGAATTTTATTTTATTTATTTGGAGGTTCATATTGTTTTGAGCTTTCAAAAATCAAAATTGAATTCATATGCAAAAATTACTGAGCTACCTGATGAACGTCCCTTGAGAAAGGACGAAACTATAGTCGTAGCATTCTCTATCTTTATCACACCCCCACCCACACATCCACACCCTCACCCACACCGACACCCACACCCACACCCTCACACCCTCACACACACACCATCCTCACTCTTCTCAAATATCAATCAAATGTTGATATTATGGTGCTTTTTTCCAGTGAAACTTATTTTATCGGAGAAAAGAATAAGCTGATGAGAGAGTATTAAAGCAATATTGATTTCTGGGTATTAAAAATTTAAGTCGTGCGTCACTTGACTTTCAGTGAAAATAAAAAAAGAGCACCTACGCATTATACATAACTATATAAAGGATACCGGTACGATTCTATTTCATTTCAACGCAAGCTATGGTCCCAACAGCAATTCAATGTTTGGTATTCGTTTTTCTCAGGTAATATAATCTTTTTTCTTCTTTAGCTAACGATGAAAAATCTTTTATTCAAGTCTCACAACTTTGATTCTTCTTGTACTTTTTACTTGACATGTTTGTTTTATTTATTCAGCATGCTAATAATTCGAGTGAATTCTCTAACATGTCAAGGGATTTCTCAGTATGATCAATGCTCACTAAATAGTGCCTGCGGCTGTATGCACATGCCAGGTACTATTGAAGCTGGTATTTGTGGATTTAAGCATCTGGCCTGTTCTGGATTTGTTCCATGTGCATCTTCAAACAACGTTTGTTACGAAGCTGGTCATATCTGTGTGCATCATCCTATATGCCATACACATCCTATTTGTTATCCATTGTCGATGGCCGGTGAACCATTTTGTCCAACGATAACAAGTAAGAGAATGAGCAATGATCTAGAAATTCAAGTGATACTCGAACCTTTCTTAAAAGGCACTTCTTCATTATCCACACACCTGTCACATAGGAAGTCAATGCTGTTGTGTCAGTAGCGAAGGAGATTCAACGGCCTCCTGAAAGAGCAGATAAAGTGTGACGCAGATTAACTGAATTGTAATTTTGAAGAAAAGTTCTTACTCCTAGTTATTTCCGGGACGATATTTATTAGTCGTAAATGCAGAATCTGTGCGCTTTTATAGCAAAACATGATGACGCACTGAGCTTTTGCTCTGAACACTCGACTTACGAGTTTATATATGCACGGAGCCTTAACGTCAAAAGCAGTTTTCGGGGAAAAAATTGATTTTCAGTCTATTTTATAGCGTTGCTCTACTTTGGAACTCTGCTTAAACTTCACCCAGAACTGAGACTCACCGAGCTTACCTCCCATTCTAAACTAGACTAAAGACTAAGTATTTTGCTCACAGAAATATTTTATGTTAATGAGTAGTGACCAATACTACAACAAAACCAACTTTAATTACAACTACAACTTCAGCTACGACCACCACTTCGCAGCCAGGTGAGCTTTGAATTAATGCTTTTTAAACTCAGTAAATTTCACGAAGGGAATAATCAATATAAGGGAGATCAGAATGAGTGGATGCTCATTACACCTTTTCTTCATGTCGATCATTATCATTCCTCGAAACAGTTCTTAAGGAAATCAAAGAAACTGTTCATATAAATCCTATTATTTGCATTATAGAATCGATATCCACCACGCAGCTGTGGTTTCACGTTTTTATGGATTCGGATCCGGATCACATTTGAATTATGTTTTCGATAACATTTGGCACTATATGTTTGCTAGACTAAGTAAAGAATTAATATTGCAGCTATTGATTGGTTATTTGCAAAATAGAAACAATATAAAGTTGACTCTAATATGCATGTAAACCGGCTCTGAGGTTCAATCTATACACCAAAACCCATAGCTTTCTAATGCCCACCGCAGAAAAACTGTATAGAATGAAAAGAATTTAGAACGAAAACATATTCGTTTGAATTCTGTAATCAGATATCTTCTGTGCACTCGAGTCTTACAGACGATCTCTTCTTGTCTGTCATCGTTACTACACTTTGGTTAATCGTTTTCTTTTTTCGTAATCTGTTATCCCTCTTTAATGTGCTCATGTGTTTCACAAACAGAGAAAATCCCAAAACGATTGCTACGACGATCGACTAATTTTTGTGGACACATAGATACACCATCAGACATTAATTCCGAAGTCTTCCTTACACCTGTTGTAACGACAAACTGAAGGGGTAGCTTTACCGCTACCATCAGTATGATGTTTATGGACGACTCCATGCGTTCAGAATGTGCCTAGGTTACACATAACACAAGTATAGATAGAAGAGAGAAAGAGAGTTGAGGGTAAGGGTGAGGTGATGGAGGTGTGGGTGGGTGGGTGAGGAGAAGCGTGAAGAAGAGACGCCCACCCTCATTCACCCACATTAACACCCACACCCTTAACGACAAATATAAAATACAAACCTGTTTTATATATCATTCTCGCATACTATTCTCTATCAAAAATGTGAAATTTATAGCTTCGTACTATACCAGAAACGATGTTTTACAACAAATTTGAGACTTTTTGCATTTACCAAAAAGTTCAAAAAACATTTTATCAGAAGTAAGAAAATATTTCATTTTACAAAATCTAAAACTTTCCGCACATGACTGCATTCTTTTGAGAGTTCCATAAGAGACAGTCTTTCAAGAATGAATCGAATCAATTGTTTATGTCTAGAATGGTCTGTTACCGGTAATATGACTAATGGACGAGTTTGGCACACAGCATCCGTATTATTAAATGGAAAAGTATTAGTTACTGGTGGATTCGGCAATCGTAGTTATTTAAATAGTGCTGAGCTGTATGATCCGTCAACAGGTATTTGGACAACTACTGGTAGCATGAGTAATGCACGATCTGATCATACAGCATCTTTATTATCAAATGGAAAAGTATTGGTTAGTGGTGGACGCTATGGTAATTTAGATTATTTAAAAAGTGCCGAGCTGTACGATCCATCGACAGGTACTTGGACAACTACTGGTAGCATGATTAATGAACGAATATGGCACATAGCATCTGTATTATCAAACGGAAAAGTACTAGTTAGTGGTGGATCCCGTAATGGTGCTTTAAATAGTGCTGAATTGTATGATCCATCAACAGGTACTTGGACAACTACTAGTAGCATGATTGATAGACGATTTGGTTACACAGTATCTGTGTTATCAAATGAAAAAGTATTAGTTACTGGTGGGAGAAGCGTTGGTAATATTATCTTGAATAGTGTTGAGCTGTATGATCCATCAACAGGTATTTGGACAACTACCAGTAACATGACTAATGCACGACATTTTCACACAGCATCTGTATTATTAAATGGAGAAGTATTAGTTACTGGTGGATGGAGCGCTAGTACTGGTTATTCAAACAGTGCTGAGTTGTATGATCCATCAAAAGATATTTGGACAACTACTAGTAATATGAATATCGCACGAGGTTATCATACAGCATCTGTATTATCAAATGGAAAAGTACTAGTTACTGGTGGAGTCAATCGTAATAGTGATTATGCAAATAGTGCTGAATTGTATGATCCATTAACAGGTACTTGGACAACTATTAGTAGCATGACTGATGCACGATATTCTCACAAAGCGTCTATAGTATTAAATGGAAAAGTATTAGTTACTGGTGGATATAATTATCCAATCGCTTTGAATAGTGCAGAATTATATGAATTATTTCACACAAATTAACTTTCAGTTGTCTTACTCGTTTCCTTACAAGTAATTCAAATTCCAAACAATATTTTAGCTAGAAGTACTGTCAGTTTGTGATGTTCTCTATCTGTTTTCTTCGATACTTTTACTGTATTATCACACTTCAGTATTGCATCCCAAATAAAAATAAATATCTTTTTTTTCTGCTCTCATATATTAGTTTATTATGATTAACAAAACTTACAAGCGTTAGCGACAACAGATAGTACATTGTTATCGCTATCTTTTTTTCTTTCTCTTCTTGTTTAGACCTATATGTCCTATGTGCGGTTCGATGCCATGATATATAGATCGTCTTTTCTCTCTATGTCGCCTGTCTGACCTCTCTTTGAACTGTGATCGACACCGGTCGTTTTCTTTTTCTTTTCTATCGTCGTTTTTTCAATAAACATTATTACGAAGACCTCGATCACGCCACTCATTCCTCGAACTCCGAAGTAGGACACTCACATACTAACGGAACCGATACAGATCATCAGCTCTTTCCGTTACCTTCCGTTCAGCCTATTAACGTCTAGTGGGCAGAAGTCTTTGGATTGTAAGGATTTAGCTAACAATTGGTGGAGAAGTTGGGCAACTTTATTCGATCTGTATCAGTTCCACTAACCATTTTCATTTGTTTTTTCTTTCTACATATTTTTTTA